TATATGAATTGTTGAATGTGAAACTGATGATGTGCCCTGTAAACTTTCACTCAATCCACAATAAAAACCTTAAATTAAAAAAAAAAAGAAAACAAATGAAGTATTACATTAAATCTGCTGCAAAAGACCTCTTCCAAAAAAAAAAAAAAAAGCTTATGAGAAATCAAATTTTAAAATGATATAATCAACAACAACAACAAAAAAGAGTTTAGCTCAGGTTGGGAGCAGCACAAATGGATTTATTGGAAAAAGAATGAATAAAGAGGTGGACTAGACCATTACCAAGAGTGAAAACACAGGCACAGATAAGGAAAGGGGTGTGAGGTAGAAGCACATTCATTCTGGGACCATTCCCTGGGCAGAGGCATTGAGACTCCTCAGATGTGGGGGTTGGTTCTGGACTGCCCCCTTGACTGCCATCTCAGCTCAGCTGTCTCCAAGCTCACCCGTTTGCCCTGTCCTCCCCCAGCTCATCTGCCTGCCATCTTCCTGTCTACCCTGTTCCTACAGAGTAAACTCTTCATGGACCTCATTAATTCCCAGCTAGGCAACAACAGTATGTTGAACTGTATTGTGGAGCTGCTCAGCAAACACCCAGAATGGTTGAATGCCAAGGTGAAGTTCTTCCTCCCCAACATGGACCTCGACTCCAGGAACGAGGCCCCAGACCCTGTACAGTGGGTTGTCCTACAACTGTATGCCCAAGGTATAGCCACTTGGCAGACGTTCATCCACTGTGTGTGCATGGAACTGGATGTGCCGCTGGAGCTGGAGGTGCTGCTGCTGAGCACGTGGGGCCATGACGAGGGTAAGGAGAAACTCAAAGTAGTCAGCCTGGACGTCATGTCATAGGGAGCCAATATAGGCATGTGAAGGGCAGGAACCCACTTGAATCATTCACAGAGGATGTGGCTGATCCAGGAACAGAATTCCATGCTTCCTTGCACTTCCCAGAGCAAAACCCCTGGGAGAATAATCTGGGGCCTGGAGGACACTTCCTTTCACCTAGTCCTACCCTAGTTCCCCTGGGAGGTGGGATGCAAGCAGAGAAAGGACCAGATGATTCCTTCCAGTCAGAAAATTTCAAATCACCCATAATGATTGGGATGTGTCTATTTGCAATATAATCAGAAGCAGTCATTGTGAAAGTCCTCTTCAACCCTGCTCAGATCAATGGGCATTTATTTGTACAAGGCTCGCCATCAGATTTCTCCTCCACAGTTGTAACTTTATTCCTCCCATGCTGGGCACCCACACTGTTGATTGAGCCCTAAATTAGAAAGGCCCCAGAGCCTCCCACGCACCCTGTAACACACTCAGATATACATGGAAAGCTCTCTTTCAGGGACCCCCAGCCAGCATGGAGTCGGTGAGGAAAGTTGCTCGGAACCCTTGCTCCACCATGGTGAGATGTGGGATTGGGGAAGAGGAAGAGGGGTTGAGCACTGCTAAGTCCCCACCTCAGACCTGGAAGATGCTGGGGCTAGGCAGGGCCCAGTCATTTCCCATAAACCACCCTCCTTGCCCTTGGCCCATTTACACATGCCCCTGCTTCCTCCTTTGTGTCTTTCAAGGCTTTGGCCTTTCCAGTATTCAAACCTGCTTCTCAGAGTCTGAAGTCATCAGCCCCTGGCCACTTCCAGAATCTCCTGTCTGGTTTCTCTTGGGAAGCCTGCTCTCACTTCCTGGTTCCTCAGCCTAGGGGCCTTGAGTGCCCAGCCCCTTAGTCAAGTTCCCCTCAAGAATCCCTAACCTTCAGTTGTCAACCTCATACTTATTTTCTGATGGTGTGAGGCAGGGTCAGGGGTCAATGGTGACCACCCCACTGATCCTTGGACCACAACCAATCTCTCAGATCCCATGTTTCTTTATAAGTGTTGGCTTTTTAATGGTAGCTGTACATGGCAGTAGGATCAGCAGACTAATAGAAAACATCCACTCTGTAATCCCAAATCAAAACTATTGTCCTGGCCCTGACACTGGACCCAGACCAGGCCTAGTTGAGGCCCTTGATAAAATATTAAAACTATCTCAGACTGTATCCAGCATCCCCTCAGGACTCCTAGACCGCCCTACAATCCAGCAACAAAAAAGTTAATACCTAGCAGGGCAAGGGGCTTTGGACCTGGCTCCTGCCTGGTTCCCATCGGTCACTAGCAGGTACTGCGTGTAGGCGTGTCCTGCTCCACTCCTTAAAATTCTGCCATAAGCCCTCCTTCTTCTCACCTCTTCTTTCCTGTTTTCCTTCTTTCTCTTGTCCATCCCCAACTTCTTCCAGAAAGTCTTTCATGTGACTCTCAAACCCATGCAGCCAGAGAACAGCTCATGAAAACATTCAATGGAGTGAGTGATGAGACATAAGGGGGTGAAAACACACTGGCACAGGAAGGAGGGGGCAGGTTCAACCCAGCCCATTCGAAGCTTCACTTTTTAACCAAGCAGAGCTGGAGTCTTCCTTAGTGAAGAAAGAGCCATTCAGCGCTAGGACTATAGGACTGAGTATTACTGGCTTCTGAAATCCTAGGCTGAAAGACGCCTAGACCCTGAACACCACCCAGTCCTCTTCTTGGGCCTGAGACCCTGACCTGTCAACTGAGGCTGATGTTGTGCAGCCTTTGCTCACTGCCGTCCTCCAGTCACACCTTCCTTCAGTCATACCTTCCTCCAGTCACACCTTCCTCAGTCACACCTTCCTC